TGCTAAATTAGGGACGGCTAGCGCAGATAGCCCTCGTGTAGCTTTGCGCGAAATAAAAAACAAACAAACATCGCTTCACTCGTTCTTACTTTTTTTTTTCAAAACTCGGTTCGCTCTTTCTAATTTTTCATTTCTTTTTTTATGTCGATATTATATACATGCATGATATTATTGTACCATGTCGAATAAATTGAATATGGCCCCTTTAACACTTCTTGTACAAATGACAACTGACAAAAAGCGTTCATTTCAGTAACGGTCTTTCCTTGCACTCAGTAAAATGATAAGGAACGGTAGCATCCAGCGGAAAAAATCCCAACGGTTAATTAGCGAAGCTGACCACTCTAATTAACTGGATGCGCCCATTGTATGGAAAACCAAATATTTTTACCAACATTGTGTTGTATTCAGTCTACTTTGCTTAAAAACAAACGCAGTACAATTTTCGTTATTGAAATAACACATGAAATGACAAAAGACGGTTGTAAACTGCCCACTAGACAATCATATTGCATATACATTCTGATCCAAGGGATAGGATAGGCTTGATTGCACTAAATGAAAAATAGACAAAATTAGTAAATTATATATAAAGTATAGAAAAAATAAATATCTATAAAACATGGGTAAAAGCTAACTAATATATAAAAAACAAAAATTACAGTGAAATATGAAACACAGACAAAAAGTAATTTTGTTTTAGAGTAATTGTAGTTTAAGCATCTAAGTGAATATGTTGTCTTGATTTGTTTGGATTCCGAATGAATGAAATTTCACTTAAACCTTTTGTAATTTATATATCAATCATGGCGAACCCCGAGGGTTGACGTCTACGGTTCTCCAGTGTTCTTTATTCTTCGCTGCTCGCATCAACTTTCACAACTCATCTACAGTCCAGTTTCTAACGTCATCGAGCCACGTGAGTCTGTCTGGGTAGATGTCAAAAGTTATCCCCCTAATTGACTATACTCTTTTGACCGGATATTTCTAGGATTCAAGGTCATTCAGTTCGTCCTGGTTAACTCGTTCTTTGACCTTCTTGAGAGACATTCCATCCCTGTCCATGAAATTAGGTTCAAAACCTTTAACTGTACTGAGAAGTAAAAAAAAAAAAAATAAACTGTTTTTTACCGAGGATTCATTGTTAAAAAAAAGTTAAGCGAGTTAACAAGTTTCTCCTGTAGAGGGCGCTAGTGGCGTAATAAGGTCGTACCTACTAATCCGTTATAGGATATAGCATTAAAAAATATACTTGTATGCGCATGCGTTTACTGTTATTAATACAAAGTGTGAGTGTGTGTGTTTACATATATGATACTGAAAAGAAAACATGATTGGTTTTATTGGATAATTTTTGGTTAACCGAGTGAAATCGACTTATGAGTTTTGGGGTCATTTGGTTTGGGTCACAACTTGCGTATATATTATTTATCACAACTGACCACAGATCGTGAGTAGAAGCAGGCGTCAGGACGTCGTGTGTCCGAACATTTGAGCCCTCACTCCTTATTGTCGATTTATCATCTGATCTTGGTCTACTTAATTTGCCTACCAGTGGCACAGTGGTGGGCAGAGCACAGATAGCCCTTTGTGTTTAATAACAAACAACAACAATTACTTAATTTAAGTTTTAAATTTATTAAATTTACTTAATTTACTTAATATAACTACGATATGTAACTCTTTCTACATATTATACCGGGCCTGGCGTATCCTGGTAACTAGGACGCTCGACTCGCAATCTGTGGGTCACGGGTTCGAATCCTCGTCATCGAACATGCTCGCCCTTTCAACCGTGGAGACATTAAAATGTGACGGCCAATCCCACTATTCGATGGTAAAAGAGTAGCCTTACTCTGAGGGGTTGTTCGGGGCAAGTTTCGTGGTTATGAAGGGACCAGAAGATCAGAAAATACTCATTATGGACAAACGAACAGACACAAATGCCTAGTTCTGTATATCAACCTAGTGTTTTAGGATTGTAGTAATAGATGTATAGACGTGTTTATTTTAATATTTATTAAGTTCTGATGAGCTTGACGTGTTTTTCTGGCACTCAATCTATGCCACTCTTCAACTCTGAAAATCGCATTTAATTTTTTTAACCAAACATTGTCACAACGGACAGATAATGTTGAAATTATAGTTAACCACACGATCTTTTTTTTTTCCCCGCAGATTGTGGGATGGCTCTGTCGAGATGGACTAGAAGAATTAGACATATACAAGAAAATGACTGACTCACTGGACGCAGTGAAAGAGCAAGAAAGGAAATTCGAGAAGTTTTACTTCCAGGCTATGGTGGGTGTTGTGAATGTATTTTTGTGTTAATTTGTTTGTTGATCCCTGATACTAAAATGTAAAGACAAAAATACCACCAATATTATAGCTAATTCAACCCGTTCCAACTGATGTCTCGCATATAAGTGATTATATACGTTTTTCGTCAGTTCTTTACAGTCTGTTGAATTCGGAGGGGGGGGGGGTTGTACAGGAGCAATTTCACCCGTGTAGAAAATCTCCCTGTGGGGGATCAAGTATTTTAATTAAGGTACAGCATTTTCCATTTTGTTGAATTTGAATTCCATCCCCACCCCCCACCCCACCAGCTTATCCTCAGTCCCCGGTGAAGAGGTCTGGCATCAACGTTGCAGTGAGTGTTGTAACCAGAAGAACAACAACAACAAAAAATATAAAATACAATTACTCAGTGTGATGCAGTAAATAGATCCCACCGGTAGTTAACGTTATAAAAACAATTCGGTAATTTCGGGGGTAAAACAATGTCTCAAGTAATTTTGTTACAGGAGAGGGTTTACCTCAGAGGGGGACATGATGTAGCGATTTGTTGCGCCTTTTTATTTCTGTAATTAGGGATTCCAAGATCGAAAGTTCAGTATTATTTATAAAATGGAATAACAAAAGTAAACCCACGTCGTTTCGCTATTCAAGCCAACCTAACCATATCAGTGTTTCATGCCCAACTAATGACTAGTTTAAAAGCAACAATATTAATACATGTACGTGTATTTATGATTGTATTTGTACACTGATGTATAGGTATTATTAAACTGTTCTCATCTTCTACTGATAACGTGTAGACTACCTTCCTCGGAATGGTATGGAGTTTCAT